GCATCTCGGCTCATGGGTGGTGCGGAATCCCGAGTGAATACCGGATTAGGCGTGCTGAACCAAGACCACGGAAGGGACTCGTATCTACGCGATGCAACGGATGAGGTAGGACTGGGCTCAGTTTTCAAGGAGCCTACCGCATCATTTGTAGATGCCGGCTCCTTGGGAGAACGCTCTAGGTCCATCGGAGTCGGTGGCCTCAAAAACTGGACGACCATGTCGAGGACGGTCTCTGTGGCTCGATCCATCACTTCCGAATCTTCATAAATATCATCCGAGTTATTGAGCAGTCGTCGGCTGGCCTCTCTCTGGGCTTGTTCCGAATACTGCATCGCGCTCGCCGTTGCTTGCTCATGAGAATCTGCCGTGGCCTGAGTCGTCTCTTCTTCCTCTTCAGCAGGCAAGTCGCCAACCGATTGAGTAGTAGTATCTGCAGTATCCTGTGGCTCAGTCGGCTGAGCTTCCGGAAGCCTGGCATTGGGCTGATATTCAAAAACCAAATGACCTCCATCAACTTTATAACCCAAGGGGAAGGTGCCTTCATTAGCCAAGAAATAAGCACAGCGGATGATATCGAGGATTCTTCCTATTCTTTCACTCGACTGGGAGGGGCAACCCTCAAGAGCTTGAGAGTAAGGCTTGCGGGTGCCGTCCTCACCGCAGTAGGCTCTGCAGTATTCGGGAAGCTGCTCTTCATTCAGTGGCTGAAATCCCAAGATGAGAATGTCCTCTGGAAGCAGATAGGGGCAAGATTTCAAGTTGTCTATGTTGTAGTATTCGTCGCATAGCAAGGTCAAGACTTTGGCCACCCCCTGAATCATGGTAGGAATGGACGCTCCAAATGCGTCTACCAAGCCGGATATTTCGTTGCGGCGGGCCACGAGCCACATGCTATATATACGCAAGACCGGGAGCAGGGCTTCAACGACAGACGCCTTTGCTTGGCCTGTCTCGATATCGTCTGGCTGATGGTCGAGGCCCTCGGCACTAGAGACAGCCTCCCGAAACTCAGACTCGAAAACCTTGCAGAATGTGTGAAGAAACCTTGCGTTGAAGCGAAGCGTAAATTGGTAGAAGCGCATAGTCGCTTCTGTCTGCTTTTCTATTCAATGTTGGTCAGTATATTGTCATTAGCAGAGAAACGTCCTCACGTACCAGTATAGCGAGTTGTGGCCATATAATGCGCTAGCATATTGACCATTACCATCTTTAGAAGAACGTTGAGAGAAGTGGCATTCCTGCAAGCCATTTCCAGCCTGTGCATCACTTCGCCCTCCAGCTCGTCTTGCTGATGGAACGCCTCTCCTTTGTAGAAATAGGCGTGCAGCTTCACAAACCACATGGTAAAGTGTGCTTCCGGAGCAGAGATGTTGTGTCTTGATCGGGATCCGTTGGGAGATAGCATCGTTTTGAACTCAGCCTCCAAGTTGAGCTGGGCGTTGGGATGAGGAGAGTCCACAGCCAAGGCGCGGTAAAAGTTGTAGACAACGTCAAGGTGGTTGTCCTGTTCAAGGTGAATGATTCCTGTCTGGTGAAAAGCGAAGCCAGATTGAGGCTGAATATGATGAGCCAGCCCGTAATACACCAGGGCTCCTTCATAGTCAGAACTCTTGTGACGGGCTTGAACCCGGTAGCGTGTCAGGTCTCCGAGGTGGATAAGTGTCAGATGGCAAGAGTACAAGATTTTGCGCTGTAAATCGTCCGAGACCGGGCTGATCTTGGATTCGACAGGCAATTTCTCGAGTTCCATCCCTTGCGCGATTCGTTCAAGCTCTGGGATATCGTAGTAGGCAGCGAGGCGCTGGACATAACCTTGATAAAACTTGGCGGCGATTCGCAGGAAGTTGTGGTACATCTTTTCCACCTTGCGCTTCTCGACAGCATGGGAAGATTGCTTGAGGCGGCTTAGAATGTGTCGATACTCGGTATTGACCGCAGTGTGCATAGACCATAAATGCTCCTCCGTCTTCTGGGTGATGGCATAGTCAAGGTCGTGAAAAATGGTCGCTACACAGGCAAGGCGGAATCTGCAGGAGAGTAGCGCGTTAGTCAGAATCGATTCAAAGGTTGAGAATCCGGGTCGCATACTTGTCCAAAAGATTGTCTATGGCTTCGAATTTGGAAAGATCGATGCCAGAAACATTTGGGGGCATGAGTTTGCCAATGTCCCGAGCGAGCAGCTTGCGTAGCTTCTGGGCGTTACTGTACCGGCAATGTCAGTCCTGTTTTCAACCTGAGCACTCCCCTGAATCGCTGCGCATGGGCAACAATCGACTCTGCAACAAATATGGAGGCCTTGCGCAACCATTCGAAAGGCCCGGGATGTACATACCGCCAGGCCGTAGCCGCTGTCGGAGCAGAAGAAGCCATGCTGTGGATGGACTCGCTATGCCCCGGGAATCAGCAGGTGTAATGAATTACGATTGTCTAATGGCGTGATGATAGTCGAGTATAGTATAGCTTCAGCTACGCAGTCGTCTCATGCTCTCGGGAATCCAAATCGCAAAGATCCAGACAGTCCATAACTCGGAACCACGGCGGATTGGGAGAGCTGGTACCGGACTCGGCTGGTGGTGATCGGGCAAGCAGCTGGGAGAGAAAACATTGGTAGAGATGGGCTTTATAGTAAAACAATGTGGGCACGAGAGTTTGCTTTTGTTTACCAGTCCCGGGGGATTCTTGGGTGGCGTGTTGGGCGTAATGCGAGCGAGCTTTCCAGGGTTTATTTTTTGGAATGAGAGGATGGCGATAACAAAGTGAGCGGCTTCTGAACCCCTCAAGGTTAGTAGCTGTTCAGAGTGTGGTGGAAATTCTTCGGCTGTTCCTAGTTTTTTTTTTTTTTTTTTCCTTTGAGCGACAAAGCCACATCAAGGGCGAGGCGCCAACAATTCTCGAACGATAACATTGAACAATGTATATTTGAATGAACTTTATCTATAAATACCCAATAAAAATTCAAACATGCGCCGTTGAAGTCATTCACGATGCGTGTGTAGCTGTACATGATTACAGAGATTACATGTAGTTCACTCAATGGTTCGGGCTCTAATCACTCATGGCGCTCGGATTGATTCTCCAAGTGTTGCTCTGTTTCCAAGTTACGAGTACATCAATGCGCTCAGAGCACTTATACAGAGGTCTTGGTACTGAAGGCCACGCCGCGTTGGTCTCCTTTAGAATCCACCCGCAGTTGGGCGATACAAACGTTGAGATTCAGTGCCAGCCACTTGCATCTCTCAATGGCATCTTTCAATGGCACATCAGAGTATCGGACCGTAGCCATGACGTTGCAAGTCATGATGTCGAGATCCCGCATGTACCTACAGGGATTGCAGGCGCCCGAGTTAAGCCCAGCATGGAGTGCTAAAGATTTCCATAGATCTGCAACATGCAAACTGAGACTGTGGCTAAAAACAGAGCACATGTGCCTGGAGACACGGGGTGGGGCAAAACCCCCGCCAGCGCCATTCAGGCCTTATTACAGCATCTCGACCTTTTGGGCTCCGTCAACGCCTTCAACTCACGACATCGCCCCGATTCATATCTTCTGCGAGCATCTGACTGTTTTTATTGGGTTGGATTTAATTTCCTCTGCACTATAGCCGGTCTCAGCGCCCTTTCCAGTTCTCGCTTCACTGTATTTGCATCTGTCCGCAACGCCACTCTCTGACTTTCCATCACGATATCGCTGGTTCAAGTCAAAGTAATATCATGCCCCACAAAGCTCACTGTATATAAAGATGAAGCGCTCACGAGAGCCGGAAGAGCATTTAGAACTCGATCCTCAGGACGGGGACTCTCACCATTCCGCAAACGCCGACGTTGATCTCCGGCCCGTCTCGAAGATTGCTGGGCTAGACTCGGCTGTCGAAAGCGAGGATAACGAATTCGTCATGAGATGCTCACTCCCCCCTCACAAAGAGCCGCTGGGCTTTCGGCTATACAGCGATTACGAGACTCACTACCATAGTTTTCATACAAACAGGTGTATCGAATGTCGCAAGAATTTCCCAACTGATCATCTCCTCAGTATACACATTGAAGAATGCCATGATCCCTTAGCAAGGGTCGCCAGGGAGAAGGGGGAACACACAGTAAGCTAAGGCGATACCTTTAGGCCATCCTCATGGGGATAGTTATATTTACTCTAACATGGTCCAGTATTCCTGCTTTGTTGAAGGGTGCGAGCGGAAGTGTATGACTCCTCAGAAAAGGCGTCTACACCTAATCGACAAGCACATGTACCCAAAAAACTTCTTCTTCGCCGTCACAAAGGACGGGATTGACGGGAAGCGCTCCCTTCTCATTGAGACCAGCCGTCGAAGGAGATCTTCAGCTGGCTCCCAGCCACAGGCCAAAGAGCTTCGGCGTCGTGCAAACACTTTGGAAAATGAAGCATCACCTTCCGACAACAAATTACAATCCACTTTGCCTTCTACTACAGCACCCAATGGCAAAGTGAAGTCAGAGAAACCGGCAGATACTGAGATGGCAGATCTTACTGGGGCCATGTCAGCTCTACAATTTGTCCCTCCAAGTATCCGGTTTGGTCGTGGTCGAGCAGGATTCTCGAAGAGGTGATAGAAAAGAGTCACGCGGGGTTGAACTGGAGAATTATGAAAATGATCAGCATGATGTTATGAAAGAATATGGCTCAGCTAAGATGAAGGATATCTACCTCTTCCGATCTCAACATCAACCCATTCTATGCCTTTCTCTTTTGTCGCCGTCCATGGAGTAATATGGTTGCAATTCGACGCCCGACGCCCTAACGCCTGTAGCAATTCTCTGGTTCGTTATTCAGATGATCAAGATGGAATCCAATCCAAAGCCACCGCCTCCTCTTAATCGCTGGATGCACATCCTCTGCAACCACAACTGACGCATTGCATATCGCTATCTTCTTTCAGCTGAGCTCTTGGTACTCGGCAGATGCAGGTGCTATTGAAGTTCGTTTCCTTTGTTTGAACACAGCGTAGGCAGCAGAGCTATTGAATATGTTAGTACTGTGTGATGCAACATGATTGGCGCAGCACGCTATGATAGCAACTTACCTTCTCATAGCCCTGCTTCTTCCATTTGGCAATTAGCATCGCATCCGCATAGCCATTCTTGAGCAGCCATTCATAAAGTTGTTTGCTGATTGCTTCCTTCTCGTAATATAGATCGTATACGTAGCGGCTTCTCTGGTGCGCAATCTGGAAGATCTCCCACTGCGCCATGTGCTTTGGGCCGGGAGGAGGAGGCTTGTTCTGCGCATCCTTCATCTTGTTCGCAAAGATCAGAAGGTCATCTTCGATGTCGCTGAAGCCCTCGGGCGGTGGCTTTCGTTTTGATGAATGTCTAATGGCCGGCATCTTGGATTGGTCGCAATGCAAATAGAAGAAACAAGGAGAGAAAACCCCGATGTTCCGCAACCAGTTTTGTACGTGATGGGCAGAAGCGAGCTCGGGTGATTCCAGAAGCGCGTCGACAAGGCTGAGCTAAGCCACACCCGAGGGGCAAAGAACTAGTATAATGTTGTGGCGCAAACTGAGCATGGCGCCGGATCACGTGAGGCTTCCATGCTGGGAGGTGGGCATGATTCCTTGCTACCAATTCAACGTCACGGCAGTGAATTTACTGCGCCGAGAAGCCAACATCGCCCGCCATGGCCATTACGCCGACCCAATTCGCCAAGAAGACGGCGCAATGTGAGTCTTTTTGCCCGAGCCGACGATCCGACAGAGCTAATATGTCAAACAGCGACCAGCTGGTCGGATGCGAAGCGTCGAGTCCTTTCTTCGTACCGCGAATGGATCCGAGCTGTACGTCCCACGAAATCCCCTCCCGAGACCACCTTGCCGGCCAGAGGCTGGAATCAAAGATTGCGCCGCCAGTGGCATATTTCATATTGCCGTGGTATAGAACAAAAGTCTAATGGATGGAATTACAGGCGCCTGAGATCCAGACGATGTACAACGTCCCTCTCCCCATTTCTACCCTCCGGACACGGATGCGACAAGAGTTCGAGCGACACCGATACACGAACCAGCTGTCCATAGTCGACGTGCTTCTCTTCAGGTCTCATGCGGAGTACCAGGTACGAATGCTGCTCCAAGGGGGGGAAAAATACTCGAACCAGATTTGATGGGGTGGAGGGTGGCATGCTAATTACGCGGGGTATAGGAAACAATGAACTTCTGGAAGCAGCAGACTCACATCTTGTCCTATTTCGGCGAAAACTTTAGAGGAGACAAGAGGCTTCCGTCCAGCTTCATGGCTGGCTTCCTTGAGGTGAGTTTGCAGAGCGGCAATTGCACTGGCCAAATCGAAGGTGGAGCTAATAAAGCTTGATAGGGTCGAAATTAGAAAGAGAATGCAAGAAACTTTGTTTTGTAAATACCTATCTCTTTGTAAAAGATTTTATGTCGAAACCTTCCATATAACGCCATGAAATCGCATAATGTGCATATACAAATGACCCTTCTATGCGTGTGTGAATTACCAGTTTTCGGATAGCCGCCCAGTTTCCACCATGTTGCCCCTCCCCGTTCCCCTTTCTCCCTTCCTAATCATCGGTCAATGCCCTGCTCGGAGTTGAACTGCTGCCTCTTTGTCCAGAACTCCTCGGCCACGACGTCGCACACGTCCTGCAGGTCGCTCAATCCCTTCTTCAGGGCATTTACGGCTGTGCCGTCTGTAGATGAGAGCGTTAGTGGAAACTCACACATGACGGAGGATATGAAATATTACCATAGGTCTGTATTCTGATGTTCATCTTGGGCTCAGATGGGTGAGGAATTGAATAGGCGCAGAATTCAACATCAGGGCTAGGGAAATATTAGCTTCCATCAACTGGAGAGCACTGTGGCTTGGCAGCATACTTCTTCATGATAACATATCTTAGGGCATTGCCCAAAGTATGGCCTTCATCGGTAAACTCAAACGAAGCCGCTGTGTCTGTCGAACCAGGGAGCTGTCGCCTCCGTTAGTAAATCAAGATTCTCTCAGCCATGGTAGACTCTCTGGCCATACAATTCGCACTCTCTGAGGCTCGACCACTTCCTCTTCCTCCTCCCCTTCCTCCTCGGCGTCGGCATCCTCCCTCATTTCCGCATCTTGGTTAATCTCATCTTGTCCAGACGGCGGGACGTCCTGCATATCAGCGTCCTGAGATGAGGCATCGGCCTGCGCCTTTGTTCGTCCAGGCATCTTTTTGTCTGAGGGGCGTCAAGAATCCGGGTGGTTTTCGTTTCAATAGGCCCGTAATAACAGTTTCCTGTCTTTGAGAGCGTGCGATAACAAGATTAAAGAACAATGCAGCTTTTCCCCAACTTTTCGCAATGGGCTTCACAAACAAAATTTGGCGGCTCATGAAATTTTGATGAGAGCGCGCCGATAGTGGGGCATTTTTTTTCGCTGCCGGATTACGGAAGCGGAATGGATGCTTGCAAGTGCAGCGCCACACTGCCCAGAGGGTTTTCCAGGTTAGCCTCAAAGTAGAGGTTAATAAATGGTGCCAGTAAAATGCATTGGAACTTCAATAGAGCATTGATATGAGGCTATACATCTCTTTTGTTGGGTTCTCCTAAGCTTTCAACGATGTGGATTTTTAAGAGGAAAAAAAAACTTTAAGGTTTTAAGTTTGCTTTGAGGGCCACCACTTAATAAATGAGTACATATAAGGCAGCTCTCCCATTAGTATTCTCGCTTTCTTAATTTCCTGTAAGAGTGGGTGTGTCGTTCTGTGTTACCGCAGGGATTGTTTGCATATCATCATAGGCTCCAAACCCGATCAAAAGTTGCATTTTCATCAAGACATCACCCGCCTTCAAGCCGGGGTATTCATAGCCGATGATGACCATAGCAGAGAAGAAACAGAAATTTGCGTTGTGGCATTTCTTCCATTCTCAATTACGCTAAAGCTGAGGCTATTGAGGGTCCTAAAAGGAATCGTAGAGGGCAGCCAAAGGCTGAGTGGGTGTGTCGTGCTGAGTTACCACGCGCCTCATCATGGGGTCTGAACCCGATCAGAATTTGCATGTCTCAACAAGACAATTTATGACAAACAGGCCAATGATGAGACTACACCAGAAGGCTCTCCAGCCGGAGGACATGCTATATGTCGTCAAAGTGGTATGGAAACTGAGGCCCTGCTAGAGAATCGCTCTGTTGGATTTTGTTCCGTTCTCCGTCACAGACAAGCAACTGGGTCTTTCCCTACCATAGTGAGGAGGCAAGTCATAATGGTATCTAGGAAAGAGATGGCTCATCAGGATGCCAGACAGAAAGGAAACAACTTAGGTGGTATGCTGAAATGTCGAAAACGGGTAATACGTCTACTAATACGACATAATGCTTGTTCCTCTATGCAAAATAAGATCGAGCCATATGCCGTCAGGACCCAAAAGCCTGCGGTGCCTGCAAACGTTGTAAATTCTTGTATTATCTTGCTACGACCAGCGATGCCCCATTCTAGAGGTACATGTATGGAAGCCAAGGACCATCTGGCACTGTTTCCTTCTTCGTAGCTCTTAACCTAAAGCCGCGGCTCGGCGAGTATGTTCCCATTGCGGAAAGAGATCTTTTCTGCGTAATGCAAAAGTGGATTATACCCGGCTCAGTCCCAAGCAGAATACATTTATTGATAAGGCCCGACCTGCCCCAACGGCTGTACTTTCCAGTAATTGTGTGCCTTCCAAGCTTCAAATTAGAGCAGTAGCATCAAAGAGCAGCTCTACAATGATCTGATCATACCGAGCCGACGCAAAAACTTGCTTCTCCGACGATATGCTGTAGATATTGGTACACCCAATCAATGTTTTGATGACTGCAGTGCGTTCTTTATCTCTCATCGGGCTACCACATGCACATTGAGTCGATATTCTCATCCCACCTTGAGGTATCGACTTCTTCCAATTGAGAGAGTGTGCCCTCAAATCCATATACTTCTGGAGATCTCTGATGATCTTGGCCAGTATCAGCGAGCTGTCCATCTCCTAAATGATCTTTTCAGATCGGCTATTTACCGCTGAGCCATCATGTCGCGCCTGGATAGCAGACTCCGTTGTTGGAGCCGTGGGAGATCTCACCATCATATACAATAGTCTATTCTATCTGCAGAAGGACATAGACCAAAAAAAAAAAAAAAAAGGGGGGGGGGGGGGGGGGGGGGGG